TACAACTATATATTCATTTTTCAAATTCTTAAAAGCACTAAACAATTCATTATAAACATTTTGTAATTCATCAAAATCATTTTCATCATCACTTAAGGATGAGTTGAAATCACTAACCTCAAAGTCGGAAGATATATTGTCTTTTGCCAACAAGCAAATGTTAGCTTCTATTTCTGAGTCACTTGATTCAGTAATTGCGTCACTATCATCGGTTCCTTCATAAGTTACTCTTAGTTTTTCCCACATCTCTTGAGCACTTTTATAAAAAGAGATCTTGTAAAACTCGTCAAGCGTTAAAGCGAATGAAATTATATTTCTAGCCCTAATGTCAAATTGTGCTTTTCTGTTTTCTTCTGCAGTCCATCTAGAAAAAGGTTTAAGAACGTCAACACCGTTCTCAGTAACTTTAGGAATATATGGACCGTTTAAAATAGCGTCCCAAACGCCTCTATCAACAGACTCTAAAAATATTTGCATACGTACCTTCCAGAAAGGATAATTTTGACCCGCAAAAAGTGGGGGTCTGTTGATAGACGCACCTTCGGCAAAAGTTTGATTTTGTTCGGCCATTTTCAAAAATTTGAATGACTATCAAAGCAAGCTCTGATACCACTTGTTAGAATCGCGCAGCGGAATGTTCGCGTGGTCGAACAAAAACCAAGAGGGGGGTGAATTGGTTTCTTAATAAAAATTAGGTTTTCAAAATTTTCCCCAAATTTTATCGATTAAAAACTGTGTAAATGTAAATAGAGAAGGGATAGAAATCTTACACAGGAGATTTATACTGGTTCGGATCAAAAGACCCTACGTCCAGTTGCTAATCACTCAACAGAGGATTAACGCTGTCACTATAAACAAGTTGTTACAACAAATTACAATTGAAAAGATAAAGATAAGAAAACACCTCTCTTGAAATCCACAAGAGATGATGAACAACTTTCCCTAGAGACGGCACAACACACAATCCACTAAGAACTCCACTTAGTGATTCTTATCGCTTTTAGCCCACACCAGGTTCCAAAAGCCCCCTTTCCTTGCAACAAACAGTTCTCTGGCACTCACAACACTTAACTTTTGTATGGAAAAGGTTGTTCTGCTTTTCTGAGTGCCAAAGAAGAGTTTAAGTAGAGAAATTAGGGTTTAGGAATTGGGGATTTCGAAACTAGGTTTTTGGTAATTGGGTTTTCAAAAATAGGGTTAATTTGAAGTTTAAAATCAAAAACAGACTGAAATAATCGATTAAATGGAGTTATAATCGATTAAAACAGAGCCAAAAACAACAAAACCCAAAACCTCTCTGTTTTAATCGATTATTAGGCGTTTTAATCGATTATCAGACGTAATAATCGATTATTTTGAAGTTTAATCGATTAAAGCAGTGAGTTTATACAGAAAATGGTTTTCTCACTGTTTTAATCGATTATTTCCCTATATAATCGATTAAAGCCGAGCCTGGATGATATATTTGGGCTTTTTGAAGCTTCTAAGGTGCAGACTATGTACCGGCTATCTTAAACTCTAATATTACAGACTCAATCTAATTAAAACAGAGTTATTACAATACAAAACAAGTCTTCAACACTCTAAGTCTTTGAGTTCTTGAATCATCATCAAAATCAACAATCTTCATGTTCATCAAGTGCAACATCAAGTCCTTGAATGTTCAACAGATCCTAGATCAAAGAAATCCATTTTCTTAGACTACAAGCATGACATTAAATGATATATTACTCTTGACGTTAAAACTAGAGAAATATTTGTTTCAAGAAGTGTTATATTCTATGAAAGAATTTTTCCCTTTAAAAACAAAATTAATGATATTAACATTTAAAATTGTCAAGGAAAATTAGTTCAATTTCAATTTTGAGCTATCCATCTAACAATAGGTTCAAGGTACTCTCATTGGTAATAGGAGGGAACAACACATGGATGATGATAGACATCTAAGGAAATTTAGACGAAGTAGAAAAGTTCCTTCCTTCTTGAACGATTATCATCATAACGTTGTCAGTGCTATACACAATAATGACGAAGAGGTAAGATTTTCTTTATCATCTGTTAGAAGCTATAACAAATTATCTAAAAAATATCTACAGTATACTTTTGCTTTGTCCACTAACAAAGAACTAGAAAACTACAATGAAGTTGCTCAATCACCCGAATGGTGCAGTGAGATGAAAAAGGAAATATCAGCCCTGGATTTAAATAATAGTTGGGGCATAATAGAGTTGCTTGATGGAAAGAAACCCATTAGATGTAAATGAGTTTACAAAATCAAATATAAGACCGATGAGACCATTGAATGTTACAATGCAAGGTTGGTTACCAAGGGGTATATCCGACTTGAATGAATTGATTTCTCTGAAACCTTTTCACTAGTGGCCAAGATGACCACGATTAGAACTCTTCTTGCCTTAACAACCACTCAAAATTGGTTTATGAGACAATTTGATGTTGATAATACTTTTCTTCATGAGGATCTTGAAGAAAAATTTTATATGATGTTTTTCTCCTGGATTACGTATAGAGGGTGAGAACAAAATCTGCAAACTAAAAAAGATCTCTCTATGGATTGAGTCAAACTAACATATAGTGGTTTGCCAAGTTGTCTTGCTTCCTTAAAAGTGTTTGTTTTGTTCAATTAAGAAAAATGATACTACCTTCACAACCCTACTCGTTTATGTTGAATTTGTTATCTTAACAAGTATTCAATATATTACATCTAAACTTGATCAGGCTTTTAAAGTGAAGGATTTGGGAGACTTGAAATTTTTCTCTTGGGATTCGAAGTTGCTCAATCAAAGGATGAATTGTCACTGACATGATTCGAATCCAATACCTTAGAGTTGGAGACCGATACTCCAACCACTAGGCTACTAAGTTTTTCTAATAATAATTTATAAATAAATTATATTTATATACAAATAAATGTATATCCGTGTAAATATATAAATATAAAATATATAAATACAAATATATTTATATATTTTGATATATTTATATAGTTATATATTTATATGTTGGATGTGAAAGCGTGCTCGACGGTGAAAGTGTGTGTCATGTTTATTATAATATATTTAAAATTAAGTAATTATTATATAATTTTAAATATTTAATTTTTTTAATTTAATGTTAATTTTTAAAAATATACTTTAAATTCGTCGATAAATAAACAAAAAATTACCGACGGATATATCCGTAAGTAACTAATTGTCTATTTACCAAAATTATTAATATACCGATGGATATATCTGTCGATAATTACTTGTTCATTTATTGACGAATTTACTGACGGATATATCTGTCGGTAATTAATTATTCATTTATCGATGAATTTATCGACAGATATATCTGTCAGTAATTAATTGTTCATTTATCGACGAATATATCCATCGGTAAGACCAAATTTTACAACTATTCTAAATTGTCGGTAATTTTCATCGGTAATTACTTATTTTTCGATGAATACATATCCGTCAGTAAATATCGGTGGGTAATATAAGATTTTCTTGTCCTGTACTTTATTTAACTAATATAAGGCCCAACATTAATTACGTCATACAATTTCTCAGTCAGCTCTTAAAGACTCACACTATTCATCACTTTAATGGTATTCAACGTATTCTCAAATATGTAAAAGTTGCTTCAGCACAAAGTCTTTTCTTTCTGAAGGTCCACCATTCAATTAAAGGCCTTTAGTGATTGGGACTGGATTGCATGTCATGAAACTCCTCATTCTACTACTAGCTACTGCATTTTTGTTGGGTCTTCTATTATTAGCCGGAGATCAAAGAAACAAATCATTGTGTCAAAATCTTCTTCTGAATCAGAGTACAAGACGTTGACTACTGTTACCTGTTACCTATGAAATACATTGGCTTGCTTACTTATTAAGGGAGTTGGGTGTTTAGAAACTTATTCCAACCACTCTCTATTGTGACAATAATTTTGGCAGGCACATTGCAAATAATCAAAGTTTTCATGAAATAACTAAGAACATTAAAATTGACTGTCACATTGTTCATGAAAAACTTCATGAAAAACTTTAAACAAATTTGTTTTAGTTGTTTCTTATTTCCACCAAACACTAATTAACTAATCTTTTTATGAAATTACTTGAACTTAAAAACTTTACTGAGTATTATTTCCAACGTTCTTAATATTGACAATAAAACTTTAAGAGGATTGTTAATTTTATTAGTTTTTCCAAGCTTTTTCCTTATGATAAGTTTATGTTTTTTTGTCGTTTTATGCCTTTTATCTTTTTTACCTTTAGTTTCTTCTAATATATAAGGTTTTCTTGTATTTTTTTTCAAAAATATAGTAATAACACATGTAACTTCAGGTATTAAATTTTCGTATTTTTTTTTTTCCTGCTTGATAGTATTTATCGTCTTCTAGGTACGGGTCTCACTAACCAGTCTCTTAACGTTGAAGAATTCCATTAGTGTTCCAGGGCAAACGTGTCTGATGCAAAGATAATTCACAGTGCTTGCAGAATTGTGTTAGCAATGGCTTTAAAAATGGGGGCTCATGCATAGGACTCATTCCTGGGGTTATCGTCTGTTGCCGCTACAAATGAGTTACATCGTACTCCTTCAATCTCAGAAAATAAAATAAAACATTCATCCCAAACTAGTTTTGAAACTTTGTGTAAAACTTGATTATCAATATATGCTATTTGAAGTGGCATAATGGTCTTTCATAATTAATTTCAAAATGTTAAATATTTTTATCCCTTATAAATTGTCATTATTTTCTTTTTCATTTCTTCCTTGGTAATTTTTATTTTATTTTTGTCCCAATAAATTATATAAATTATTTTATTTCACTGTGCAAAATATTATCGAACGCATAAGAAAGCAAAATAAACTCTTATTAGAGTTTAAAAAAATAAATGAAAATATGTAGGGGAAAATAAAAGTAAAGATAAAAATGGTAAAATATTAACCAAAATGTTAAGCATGCTATGACTCCATGTTTCAGAAGTGTCAAACATGTTAAGGACTAAAAAAAGAGTTTTTAATAAATTTTTACACACAAAATAAATTCACTTATCATACGAATAATCTAAATTAAAAGAATTCATATAATCCGTGAAGCGAACCATAAAATTAGTTTTAGAAATCAGTTTAAACAAATAACATTTTAGAGTACCATATCATATGTTCTTAGTAAAATTTTAAAGAACTTTTTTTTTTGGGAAAGACTGTCGCCCTAATCAATACCCCTCCCTCGGCCAGTGCCCATTCGCAATATGTTAAATTCATATGTCCCATAAATAATACATTTTTAAAAAAATTATTTAAATAAAGTTTCTTTAAATTTATTTACTCAAACAAATCTATTTATTCTTCATGCACAAAATTCAAAAATAAATAATCTATGTGTCATAATACAATTCTTTTTTTTTCTTTCTCATTTTCATATCTTTCTCTCTTTTCATTTGCTTTTTTTTTTTATGTTTGTTTTCTTTTATTTTCTCTTTTCTCGTCTTTTGTTTTTCTCTTGATCTATCTTATTCTTCAATTAAAAATATTGAAATTTGATAAAAACAAGTTTTTATTATTATTGAAAAGTAAAAAATATTTAAATGTTCCAGAAATATTATATTTTAAAAATATTATAGGATAAATCTAAAATATTACAAATATTATTCTTATGCTATAATTATTAAAATAATTAAATATTATTTTTTAAAGTAATTTTTTAATAAATATTTTTTTGAATTACCTTATCTAACTAATTATCATACCTCAATCTAATTATAACTAGATTAAATTATTAAATAAAAAATATATTTAACTTATAAATACTTAATATTTTTTAATTAGATGAATAATTATTTATTATGATAAAATAATTTTACATTAATTATTTATTGTTAAAATGAATAAATTTATTTATTGTTACTGTAATTTTAAATAATTAGTTAATATTTTTTTAGTTTAATTATTGATTTTAAAATATTTATTTTAACATATTTTTATTAGATTTTAATATAATATTTTAATTAGAAGAATAAATGGGAGATGAAAGAGAAAATTAGAAGATGTAAGATAAAAAAGAAAAAAAATAAGAACCGAGTGAGAAAAGAGAAAAAATAAAAAGAATTTAAGTGAAAATATTAGAAAAACTATATAAGAATAATAAACATCTCTACGTATAAATAAATTGATAAAAAATTTATTTAAATAATTTTTTTAAAATATATTATTTATAGGATTCATTATAAATTTTTTAAAAAAAATAGAACTTCGTAATAAAAGAAAAAAAAAAGAGAGAGAAAAAGAATTGAGACATAAGATCAGAACTTTAACTATTTTTAGAGATGAAAAACATATTGTTGTCTTGAAAAGGTAGCATTGGAAATCTCACGAAAATGTGCTATTTCTGTTCCCAATAAAAACTTGCTGCTTTTAATTAGTGCACTATCTTGCTATACATTATTTTTCTTAGTCTGAGTTTGCTACTCTGCAATACACAAAACCCAAATCACAAATTGTTTTAGTTTTTCCTTTCATACGGGTTAGATTTTTTACCTACTGGGCTGGGCATTGGTAAAGACCTCAAATTGATGCTATCATTTCTAGAGTTCACGTTTAAAAGCCAATAAACTATGTAACTTATCAAGAATAGTGGCCTTCTCTGCTTTCCAAAGAAATTAAAAGGTTACAATTTTCATGAAACAAGTAAATAAATAGCATACGCTCATTAAACAGATTCACTGTATAAAGTGACTTTGCATTTGCCACCATCGTCATTACTTATATATTACACGCTTCCTCATAAGTTTTATGCTCGAAACTTGTTTATTATCAAACTAACATTACTTCTTGGCTACAACTCCAAAAGATATAATATCATTGAGGCTTTGAAGTTGTAGCATTTTAATTTTATTTTGTTGCCTTGGTTCAGGGTCTCAGCATATTAAAAGCCTCTCTCACTTCAAAGTCTGCTTTAACAAATGGTCTTGCCCATTTGATTATCGAAGCTGAGCAAGAAAAATGATAACCAGTGTGCTGATGAAGAAAGCGTGTAAGTGATTACTATTTCTATATCATTATGGTTTTCTTTTTTTATTATTATTAAGAACTGGTTCATGGTCACTATTAAGCTAGGCCCTTTCTATTCTAGCATTGTTGCGTTTAGAGATTTCAATATTACTTAATGCCATCAAATCAAATAAATCATTGCTAGTTGTTGTTTTCAATTTGTATTTTTCTTCTACAAAATCTTTAAATACCATGGAAACAGTTGTCTTTTTCACAATTTATATATATATATATATATATATATATATATATATATATATATATATATATATATATCACTAGAGAAAATTTTATGGACAATTTAAGATAATGTAGATCATTAGACGGTGTTTACTATCAAAGAAAAGTTTGATTACTATGTTTTTCATTATGGTGTTCTCACTTTTTTTTTAAATATATACTGATAAGTTCATTAATAATTCTTATTATAGAAAAAAATTTATTAAAATGATATTTCTAGTTTGACCTTTTATTTCATGATTTTTTTTAATTGTTTTTTATTATAATACTTTACAGTTATGCCTTAAAAAAACATAAATAAAAAAATTGAGTTGAGATCATATATATATATATATATATATATATATATATATATATATATATATATATATATATATATATATATATATATATATATATATATATATATATTAATAATAATAACAATAATTTTATCATCAAGATAAATTTAGATTTATCTAAATTATTAATATCATAAAAATTTAATATAAAAAAATTAAAATACATTATTGTCATCATGTTTCTCATTTATTATAATATCCATTATTTGAATAATTAATTAATTTTAATCAACCTTCATGAAATAAATTATTCAATAAAAAAAGTATAAATATGATAAAAAAAATACTTCTATTATTAAATTAATTACATAATAATTTGGATCTTCATCAAGCACATACATGTATTGCCAACATCAACTTCAAAGTCTTGGTCTTTCTTAATTTATACTTTGTTATGAACTATTGCATTTTCATTCAAAATATCTATTAACCTTTTATTTATATTGATTCTACTACTTCATTAAACGTTCTTAAGATGAAAAATATAAATATTTTACAGAAAAAAAATAGACAACTTAAATTTAACATTCTAGCTTTCTATCGCTATTTTTCTTATTTCCAATTATTAGATTTTGCGCATCTTATTTTGGTATAAAAACGGAGATAGACATTTTTGTAACATTTGAAGGTCAAGTTAATGTTTATTGATAATACAAGTTTAGACAGATTATCAGAAAAATAATAAACGTATAACAATATATGTTAACAATATATGTTTGTATTTGTCACTGTTTCACAATCTCCAGTAGTACTTTCATCATAATAATAAGAGAAAAGTAGAACAAAAACATGGCTGCTCGTTTAATGAGGTCAACAACAATAACCTTATACTCATCTCTAACTTCACATTTATGCTTTTGTCGGCAGATCCTTGTACGTATAAGTGATCCCTCCATCACCATTTACCACATGCCCGCTCCCTCTCAATATTCTGCATTATAGTGTGATTTAGTCTATCTTAATTTAACTCTGGTAGTAAAATTATTGAAGAAAGGATATTTTAAAACTATTTTTCTAGAAATGTGTAACATATACAAAAATATTCAAGAAAATCTTCTAGCAAATTCATGAATAATTGAAAATGTTTGTTGTTGATGTTGTATTTTCTTTGAATAAAACAAAAACAAAGAGTCATTGAAGAATTCCGTACCATCTATTTGTTAACAACCCTTCAACTCCGACAGGACCTCTGGCATGAATACGACTTGTGCTTATTCCAACCTGATCAACAATAAAACCAGGAACAGATGGGAAAATATGAATTTCTATGCTGATATTATTGCAATATTATGCTCATGGAAAGTACACCACCTCTGTACCAAAGCCAAAGCGAGCTCCATCACAAAACCTTGTACTTGCATTGTGGAATACAGCAGCACTGTTTGTGCACCGGGCAAAAATGCATATTCCTCAGTCAGCAACATGAAGTATATAACTAGACTAATTCATAATTCATAGAATAGTCATACATAAAAACACAATGGAGCATGAATTCTATTTACTGTTAAAGGATGTATGTCCAAATGAAATATGAAAAGTAACCTCAATGCATGTTAGAAGCTAAACTGAAAATTTTCAAGCGGCTATTTGATAGTGACATGGGTGGTATTATTCATCGCCTAAGTTTCACATCAAATAGTGTAGGATGCTAGATGGAATCTTTAGTGATTTGGTATCGAATGTTTGAATGTTTCTCAATTGGTATCAAAATTGGTTGTCATCTACATACGGACTAGAAAGGCTGCGTATAATGAGTGTGAAGTGCAATCATAGGGACTAGATAAGATTGGTTTTTTCTCCTCTTACCATCCACCATTGGAGGACAGGTTTCTTATCTTCTATAGACATTACTCCGACCTCCTTCCTAATGATCTCCTATTTCTATCCCGAAATGATAAAAACATCTTCATATTCATGTGAAATGTTCTGTTCATGGTTGTAGTTTACCTCAAATTAATGGCTTAACAACTCTATATCTATGCTTGTATTTTATACAATAAGAACTATTGGTTTCTTTTTTCTTTTTTATCAGTAAATTATAAACCTCCCTTTACACTCTAAAAGCGTGTATAGAACACATGATAGGATCCAAACCCAGAAAATCGAAATAGAGCAAAAGTGAGGCATAAAACTCGATAACATGCTTATTACAATAATATTAACATTTCTACAGATGAAACAACAAGCTACTACTAAACTGCTAATGTCATAAAAAGAAGTTCCATTCTTTTAAAGAAGGTGACTTCTCTTCCACCCACCCCGTCCCCCCAATTTGAAGAAAATTTTGAGATTTATATAGTCAGTTACGAAGTTTTCTTCATCATTGGGATATAATGTCTTTTGAATGTTTTTAATCTTGCAATCTGAACCCCGTGCGATAACAAAAGTTTTATAGAATATACAGATGGAACCTAATAAAACTATCAAATATGAAGAATTATACGTCAGGACAAATGTGATATCCAATATAACTGACACATTGAACTTTTAGAGAATAAAGAGGTTAGTGGTTCAGACAAATTAGTGCAGGCATGGGAATTAAACTACCATACGATAGTTCCACATTAGTATCTCTTGGAATTTGTCACTGGAAGCAAAGGACCAACAAGGTTGCTGGAAAAAAAAATAATTTACCTGTCGACCTGACTTAAGAAAGCTTCAGCAACTTCATAGTCTTCTGCAACGATGCATTCAGTATGAGCGCTGCAGAGAAAGGAGAGAAAAAAGTAGATTTTTAAGAAGGATTATGATGTAGGAAATTAAATGTAGATTTTGCAGGGGAACTCGAATTTACCTTCCATGTTGATGTATGTGGTCAATGGCAGCAAATACATCATCTACAATTTCAACTGTACAGGCCAGTGAGCTATACTTCGTATGGTAAGAGTGTGTTTCAGCAATATTCAACGAGGAACTGGCTCTTGGTCCACCATATAGTTGAACGCCTGAAAAATTATTAAATCACAGCAGTCATGTCATCCCATTTGTGCATGTGTGCTAGTTTAACAGCATGCTTTATATCATCATCCGTGTGATCTTTTAGGGGAAAAAAACCATATTTAAATAAACCGAGTGAAATTAAATTTTAGTTTCATAAATTTGAAAATACCTCAGAAGTCATAAGAAAATGATTAACCTTTAATTTAATTGAAGTTCTCTTTTAATTAATAATCATCACACATATTTTCTCTTTCCATATTAAAATTTTAATTGAGTAGTGGATGTTGAAAAGGAAGCAAAGGGTCATTTTAAAAAAAATAATATATATATATATATATATATATATATATATATATATATATATATATATATATATATATATATATATATAAAATTCCAACTTGAAAGTGCCTGTTTTGTTCATCATAAATTTATTCAGAATAATCAAGGTCAAACCTTGGCGTCGTAGTTCAGAAACAAGTTCATGTAGTCCACCATTCCTTGACAGATCAACGTGTACAAGAAGGGTTTCCTGAGAACATCAGCACCAATATTGTATTTAGCAGAGTGTATAGATCAATGAATGGCAAATGAAAACTCAAACGGAAATAAGGATGCAGATGAACATGCGTTAGATTAGCCATTCCAGTGCATGTAAACTGTAATTACCATTGCATTGCAAGCCGCAGGGTAATCAGTCTTTGCATCGCTAATAATCTGCTTTGCCATATCCATATTAGCCGATTTGTCTACATATACATGACATATTCCATCTGCATTTCAAAAATAACAACTTGATAAAATCGTACTTTGTAACATGAATCAAAGATAAAAAACGTAAATACATATATTACCAGCGTGACCAAGAACAGGAATCTTTGTTCCATCCTTGATTTGAGAAACAAGCTTATTATTGCCTCTAGGGACCAATAGATCTATCACGTCATCAAGCTGTGGCAAAGTATAATTAGTTGAAATTCATTTCAGACAAATAAATTTTAGGAATTTTACTTGCCTTGAGCAGATCTGGAATGTCTTCCCTTGATGTCACAAGCCCAATGAGAGTGTCACCCACTGTATCTGGAATAGCTGAAGTAATAACCTACAACAATGATGAAATTGAAGATGAAAACAATTATAAACTAAAGTTATGGAAAAATACTTGTTGGAAAGTCGTCTTAACTGCAGTCACCTCTAGCTTGCTTTAGTTGTTACCCCTTTCGGTTTGTCTTAATTTCAACCTTAAATTGACTAGCGATGTGACTTAAATAGAACTATAAAGCTTGAGAAATTATAATCTTATAATGAGACCGAATTTAGGTCTTAAAACCAAATTCTAAGATAGTTCAAACGATTGAGTAAAAAGAAGATAATATTAAAGTCTGTTATATGTATATGTTAGGTCATCTGCATTTACAAATTGCAAAACTTCACGTTGATAGGCTTAGTTAGAAAGTCTTTATTGGGGTCGTCTTTGTTGACTAAAATTATGACTTGAGCAAAACATAGAAGAGTTGGACAATCCTTACCTCCTTGAGTCATTTTCTAAAGTTAAATAAAGCCCTGAGTAAAAATTCTAAAAAGACTATAGATTTTGGGGTCTACTTAGTCTCTCATCCACTATAAATATGTCATGAAACTAGGTCAATCCTTATTACAAGCCATTTTGTGGAGTTAATTTAAGTTCCAAGTTCAAATTCCAAGAATAATATGGACAATTCGTTAGGATTAATCAGATAAAAAATGGACCATGGTAATTACACAAACCTTGTGTAAGATTGTATTTGATCGTTTGGCTTCCTTTCCTCCTTTAAGCAGTAAACCATTTCCACTTCGAATTGCCAATGCAGCCATCTATTAATCCATTTCAACAATATCTTAAAGATCAATATTCAATGCACGGAACAAATTTTCGAAACTCACTAGACTTAAACTTTACATGCTCGTATGTATGGCAATTTTATCGAAAGAATTGAGAGGGAACTAACCTGAACAAGGACATCTGGTCGAGATTCAAATATAACCAGGAGGACACCCAAAGGACATGATATTTTTTCCAAGACGAGTTTGTCTGCTAGCTGCACACAGAGCAGTAATCAGAATTGCAAAAATGAATGTTGAGCTGTAGGATGTGCATGTTCTATCAACATTTTCAAGAATTTGTTATTGAATCATAACAATAGTTAAACGTTGGAAACATAATACGTCTAAAAAGAAATAACTGTTGAATATTAAAACTTCACAGAACCAATTTCATGTGTTACTTATATACTGTATTAAAATAATTATACGGATATTGACCTCAGTTCTCTTTAAAATCTGACCAATGGGTTCTTCCACGTCAGCCAGCATGCGAACAGACTTTACAAGGCTAGAGATCTGAAAAATACAAAAACCAGAATCCAACAACATCATGCTCTATCAAAGCGAAAACTTCACAAAATCTTATTTGAAAAGTTTGAATTAGGTGCTATTTGAACTTGATACTAACAAAATGCTGTGCAAGAAATTTTCACTTCAGCATAAAGTTCTTACCTTCTCAGGTGTCAGGGTTAAAGGTGATATGAGTGGTTTCTCATATCCGATCTCCTCCGCATCAGCAACATCAGCTCCGTTTTCAAGCCGTATTATATTTTCATTGTTCTCTAATGCATCAGCTATTGCCAGCAATATTTTGCTCCTTTCTTCAGAATTTAGAGCCTGAAACCAGAAGCACGAATTATGTAATACAAAAAAGACTACCAAACTGCCATTCAAAGAAATTCATGAATTAACCCTGCCCTTCAAATTTTACATGTATAACTTCACTCACCTGAAGTCGTCTAGAACTATCACGTGCTGCAACTGCCATTTCATGAGCACTAACTTCCTTTATACTGGTCCACAAATGAGCATCTTTATGAAAGACAGTACCAATTCTTTCTCCTCGTAGAACTCTTTTGATGCTGTCTGTAGCAAAGCCACTTCAACGGAGGTAGAAATGCAATTTAAGGTTAGGAAAAATGCAAAATTCCATACGCATGCGTAGATGAAGCATGAATTTATATTTTATATACATATCGGAAGAAGAATGAAAATTGCTCACAACAGAAATATGATATATTGTAGTCACTTGAACTAGAAAGTAACAATGCAATAACATGAGTATGGAATGGACATGATCACATCAAATTAATGCAGCATGGGGTATTGTCAAATCAACTGGGAGGATATCCATAATCTTAAAAATGGTGAATGCAGTTTCAAAACTAAGAAAGGATAATAAATATTTACGAGAATTTGTATGGTATTATAATTCATTCCATTTTAATCCCGATGCTTTGATCACAATTTAATGATTCGGGGAAAGTAGTTAACAACTTTCTCCAAAGTGAAAGACTCAAAACATATATAAATTAAACAAAACATGTCTCTCTGGGTTTGTTGGATCTATAGTGAAATGAAAAACATTTAGTTTTTTGGCCAAAAAAATTTCCATATATAATAGTCAAATTTTTCTTATCTCAGTAGAATCAAAGGTACCTAGTAATAATCACAGGTGTGCCAGCAAAAGCAGCACAAACAGCAGCGTTAACTTTCGCAGTCATACCCCCTCTTCCATATCTTGACTTTTCTCCAAACCTGATTTCAGTTTCATGCTTTTCTTGTACATATGTGTGAATTAACTTGGACTTTGGGTGACATGGAGGGCCACTATAAAGACCCTCAACATCACTCAATAGAACAAGGAGGTCAGCTTTAAGTTCTACAGCCAATAGACCTGCCAAACTGTCATTGTCCCAGAAGATACCAGCAGAATCCTGCAGACAGTTCTTGCCCTTAAAGGTAATCAAACGCACCAGACAAGGAAAATCAAACTAATGTTTTTTAATGAAAATAAAAAGAGAAAGCTTTCACAAAGGCAAATTTGTGTAAGGAAAAGCAGCATACCTCACAGGGTGCCTTCCTAGTACTAATTGCATCATTTTCGTTGAAAATGGGGATAACCCTTAAATCTAATAATGAGCTCACAGTGTCAGACAATTGCTTTCTGAAAGCTGCGTCCCTAAAAAACACATCATTCACAAGAAGTTGGGACGAAGTTACATCAAGCTGCACCAGGCAAAAGACATATGACCATCAATTTAGAGGAAACAGTTAGATTATAATAAAAAACCTGTGAATGAATTATTATGGCAAAACATACAAATTTAAGATTCTAGACATTGAATTCGCAATCTAATTTTTGCCCACCTGACTAAACATCGTATCGTAGAGAGCCATGAGACTACTCTGCCCAACCGCTGCACATGCTTTCCCATCAAAACCTCCTTGTGGATTTTGAAGATCCGAAAAGCTGCATAACAAATAAACCCTTTATTTCAGGCTCATTTTTTGCTTCCTGACTCTCAAACTATCTATCTTGTATTGATAGAAACATGAAAAATTTTGCACAAGTATCTTATCTTAATGCTCATGTAGCATTTCAAAAAGAACAAACGACAAAATGAAGCATGGTCGAAGTGAGAGATGAAAATGATGAATTACTTTTTCAAACAGAATGTTTTTAGAAATATACAACAACATTTTTGTTCTGTTTGATACAAGAACATTAGATCACCAAATACTTAATTTAAAAGTTGATGTAACTAAATATGCACTGGCTATATTAACGGAAAGCTCGATGCAGGAGTTTGAAAGGTATGTATTTACTACAGCAAAAAGAGAAATAACAAAAACCTGCTATTGACCAATCTGCGATATCTTAGTCTTTGTCGGCCAAGACCAACTGCTCCTGAAGTCACCAATATAACCTCATAATCCTTATCAATCAGCTCTTTAAGCTGCAGCAAACATAACTTTCAGTTACATAAAAACTATATAACATCAAACAGATATAAACTTTTATATTCCTGATACCTTACATGGAACAATAGAAAAAACGGGACAAGAATTTAACCAGCTCGTTCCATCTATCACCCATGTTCCTTAATTCGTGTAATTTTCATATTGAATACACTAACGTACCCAGTGCTGGAATGTGGCTCACTTTGTTAAGGTAAAGAAGAGAGGTCATTTTTTATGTGATATAAATTTAATTCAAGTTTAGACATGTTTTTATTTCATATAAAATAACTCTATTTTGTTTTTAATTATTATAAAAAAATATTTTTAATTATTCTAAATTGAAAACCATTACTTTTTATACAAAACTATAAATAAATAAAAAACTTATAAGAAATAAAATGGAAACTCGCTCATTTTAGATGAATTAAAAAACAAATATAAACAACTTTCATTTCTATAAACTAACTTTTATTTACAATATCATTTAATTATATATTTAAATACATGAAAAATTTAAATTTAATAAAAAATGTAAGTAAATTAAAATAAATTTTCTGAAAATAATTTGTATTTCTCAATAATTTTTTTATTTAAAATAAGTATTTATATATTATCATTAAAATATAATTTAATTTTATGTGTTTTGATCAATTATAATGTAATATATATATATATATATATATATATTACTATCATTATAAAGATATATTTTAAAAATTTTGATGTTTAATAGAATGTTAATTTTCATTAAAAAAATTATAAAATGATAGATTAAGTAAATAAAAACGAAAGAATGATATATTAATAATCTCTTTATCAAAAAGATTTTTAAACAATTATTTTTTATAATATAATAATATTAATGATAAAAAAATTTAGAATTTTATGTATGTATATTTTATATATTATATGAATATATATTTTATTTGTATACAAGATAAAAATATAATAAAATATTAAATATTAAAAATATCTCAATTATAGTTGTTTAAATAAAAATAATAACATAATATTCTCTTGTTTCTTTTAATAATGAAATATCTTAATATCTCATTTAAATAAAAAAGAATAAAATAATATTTTTAACAAAATCAAAATAATAAGTTAATATTTTCTCATAATAAAATCTTTTAATATGTCATTTAAATAAAAAATAATAAAATAATATTTTTTCAAACTAATAAAGAAAATTATTAAATAATTTTATTATTAAAATAGAGTTCTGAAATTATATTTTTTAAATGCAAATAATATAAATGGTATTCTGGTTTGACCGTGGCAAATATAGATACCTGCTCGCATAGTGCTCCAAGTCTTCCCAATGCTAATCTTCCATCATTGCGAGTCACCACGGATGTTCCAACCTTCGTATAAGTCAACACAAACAAATGATAATTCGGAGAAAATAATAATAATAATAATAATAATAATAATAATAATAATAATAATAATAATAATAATAATAATAATAATAATAATAATAATAATAATAAAAGTAATTAAAAAAATAGAGTGAATGTTAAGGTATGCGAGTAAAGTTTGAGTGAGAGAGACCTTGACGACTACTCGCTTGACACTTTTGACAAAAGCTCGTGTAGGATCCATTGCCCCAGAATGGGAAAGAGATGCAAAGACGTGAATTTCTGAAAAAGTGACGAAGAAGAGAGGCAAGAAAAGTTCAATCACGGATTTTCTCTCCTCAGTGACACAAAATCCGTGATGCTTATGCCCACTCCCTAATAAATACTTGTTACATGGATCAATTAAATTCTGAATTTCGTTATATAAACCAACTTATCTTTTATATATATTAATATCTTTTAAAATACACTTTCATCTATATGAGATCTTTTATTTATCATATTCTTCTTTTATTCAAATTTTATACATAAAACTTTTCATATATTTTTAATGAATATTATGTAAATGAACTTAAATTTAAAAGTAATAATTTATTATTATAACATTTATTTCTTTGTATACAATAATGACTTATATAGATAAACATGTATTCAGAAAATATTAATCTAAAACATAAATAGAGTAGTTTTATAAAATTATAATATATATATATATATATATTTAAATTATATATAACATAATTTTTTTGTTATGATTTATAATTATTTTTATGATATGTTACATATTAAAAAAAAAGAAATAATATAAAAAAATTATCATAGCATAAGAGTGAAAAAGTTGAAATAACAAAAAACACATAAGATATATAAAGATAAAAAGAAAAAATATGATATTGTCCCTTAGATTTATGGTCACGAATAATAAATAAATATTTTTAAAAGATGGAACTGTCACTGTAATTTATTGAAGAAAATTTTTAAAATTTTATTTTAAAAAAATGTCTTCAAAACTAAATTTGGATTCGAAAAGTCTTACTTATAAAGAAGATATTAGCACTTATAAGAATATATAATGAATGCAAATAAATAATGAAAAAAAAATATTTGTGTCATTCTCGTTGTTGCACCTCCTTACAGTTTGTGGAGTTCTCTCATTTTATTTTGTTTTTTTTTATCTTCTTATTCATCTTTTTCTTATATAAAGAGAAGAGACAAGAAAAATGTGAAGTGAAAAGAACATCGATACAGAGAAGTTATAAGAAAAGTTGAAGCGGAAGGATATTTTTTATTTTATTTAAAATAAAATATCTTTTATTTGTATAATATTATTTAATTATTTAGATAAAATTAAATGTTGGCAAACATATTGATATTAAAAAGAAAAATATAAAATTAAAAAAAAGGAAAAAAATTAAAAAAATTAATAATGGTTGGACCGGTTTATAAAGAAGATGATTTTGTTTGAAAAATTAATTTAATTTAATAAAACTGTTTTATTTAATTGAACAATTTATACTATAAGTGTTTGGTAGGGAATGTTTCTGACTGGTCTCAGATCCGGGTTTCATTCGGTATATAAAGAAAATCGGAACCCTCACCCGGTGAGTTTGATCTTTCTTGTCCCTCCTTCTTCTTCACTTTTCTAACAACCACTCTCTTCTCCAGTTTTGGGCAATGGATCCCACTCGAGCTTTTGTGAAGAGTGTCAAGCGCGTCGTGGTTAAGGTCTATCTCATCCTCTTTTCATTCCATACATCGGAATCTGTTTCGCATATGCAGAGAAAGCTTAGAAAACTCTTCTCTTTGTTTTATGTATAGTTCCTGTCACGTTGCATGCATGGAAGTATCGATTGTAATCTCAATGTTATTTTCATATTTCATACATGGATTTCGACAACAAGATCTACCTTCTTTCTTCCTGCTATTTTGGATAATATACATCTATGTTCTGCTGGTTAATCAATCAATCAATAAAAAGTGTTTATTTGAAATTTCCTCACATCAGAATGTACTGTATTTTGATTTCTTAACCAGAATTTATTAATTAATATTTCTTCTTAAATATTCACTCTATAAAAATAAATAAAAAACACTATTCTTCTTGTTTTTCATTGGTTGGTTAACCGTCTATTTGTGTTCTGGTAGGTTGGAACTGCCGTGGTTACTCGCAGCGATGGCAGATTAGCATTAGGAAGACTTGGAGCTCTATGCGAACAGGTATGTTTCTCACCGTCAAACCAGAATACCATCATTTATATGAATTTCATTTCTCAGTCCTTAAATTATCGTCCTATTTTTCTTTCATGGAAATGAACATCCTACTAAAAATTACGACTTAAATGATATTGAAAAAAAAAAAAGTCTGTATAAATTTTCCACTTAAATATATTTTTTATTTTACGTGGGTTACTTGTTTCTTATATATTTTTTTCATTTCAATAAAATTTGAAATCATTATTTTTGTTATTGTAAATTTCAACTTCAACTATATAAAATATTTTTCTTTGTTTTAAATCCTTTCAAAATTTGAAATCACCGATATTAATCCCTACCATTTTTTTTAAGATAAATAAAAATATTATTTCATATAACTTTAAATTTTTTATCATAAGATTATATCACAAGACAAGCATGCTTAGAATGGCATTTTGTTTGATAAATAATTACATAATCGTAAAAAATAAAATAAAAATAAAATTAAAGAAACGAAAAATAAACAACAAATTTACAATAACTAAACTTAAAACACAAGTATTTTACATGAACTAAAAACGTATTTAAATTGAAATTAAATTTATATCACTGATATAAAAATATATTACCACATCCGAAATTCAGCAAAATATCCCAATATTTATTCTTTCTTTTTTTCTCTCTATTTGCGTTCAATGACCCTCCTCTCCTCACGCCTTCAAATAAACCACCACATAACATAGATGGCAGATTAGTTTAAAAGAATAATTAAAAACAATAAAATATATTATTTTAATATAAATATGATAATTAGAATTAAAATATATCAGAAATATTTATTTAATTAACTAAGATAATAAAATCATATGGAAATAAAATTAAAATCACATCAAAATAATATATTTTATTCTTTATAATTTTTATGCCATTTAAAATTCCGTGTTTTAGTTGTTCTAGGTAAGATATGAGAATATGAGTTCTTTCTTGTGAAAAATATAAAATATAGATTTATTATATCATAAACAATTTATATTTGATTTTATTTCAATAAAGAAAATTAATAAAATTTAAATAATTTATTTTCTTTTGTTTATTATTTTTGTAAGTTGATTAATGGGACATCTATAAAATAACTTTAAACAACTTATCAGATACGATATCTCCAATGAAAACTAATGTTTTACTGAACCAAATCACCAAACAAATCTTATTGTGGATGTTTTAGGACTAACGAAATTAACATATGTTTGATGTTCTTCACTGATCATATAGTTTTTGTTGTAACTGTTTCCTGCAGCTTAAAGAGCTGAATGTTAAGGATTATGAGGTTATATTGGTGACTTCAGGCGCAGTTGGTCTTGGCCGACAAAGACTAAGATATCGCAGATTGGTTAATAGCAGGTTTTTGTAATTTCTCTTCTTGCTGTAGTAGATACATACTTTTTCAAACTCCTGCATCGACCTGTCCGTTAATAGCCAGTGCATACTTTAGATACATCGATGTTTAAATTAAGTATTTGATGATCCATGTTCTTGTATCAAACTGAACAAAATTGTTACTGTATATTTCTAAAATCAGTCTGTTTGGAGAAGTAATTCCTCACTTTCATCTCTAACTCCGAGCTTGCTTCATTTTGTCGTTTGTTCTTTATGAAATGCTACATGAGCATTAGATCAGTATAGCATTGAGAAGGAACTTGTGCAAACTTTTTCATGTTTCTATCAATATGAGATAGATAGCGTTTGAGAGTCAGCAAGGAAAAAATAAGCCTTAAATAAAGGGTTTGTTATGCAGCTTTTCGGATCTTCAAAATCCACAAGGAGATCTTGATGGGAAAGCATGTGCAGCGGTTGGGCAGAGCAGTCTCATGGCTCTCTACGATATCATGTTTAGTCAGGTGGGCACAAAATTAAATTGCGCAATCAACATGTCCGTAATCTTAAATATGTATATTTTACCATAATAAATTAACAGGTTCTTTATTTATCTAATTGTTTCCTCTTAATTCATGATGATACGTCATTTGCCTGGTGCAGCTTGATGTAACTTCGTCCCAACTTCTTGTGAATGATGGGTTTTTTAGGGATACAGCTTTCAGAAAACAATTGTCAGACACTGTGAACTCATTATTAGATTTAAGGGTTATCCCCATTTTCAACGAAAATGATGCAGTTAGTACTAGGAAGGCACCCTATGAGGTATGCCGCTTTTCCTTACACAAATTTGCCTTTGTGAAAGCTTACTCTTTTTATTTTTTAGAAAAAACATTAGTTTGATTTTCTTGGTCTTGTGCGTTTGATTACCCTTAAGGGCAAGAACTGTCTGCAGGATTCTTCTGGTATCTTCTGGGACAATGACAGTTTGGCGGGTCTTTTGGCTCTAGAACTGAAAGCTGACCTCCTTGTTCTATTGAGTGATGTTGAGGGTCTTTATAGTGGCCCTCCATCTGATCCAAAGTCAAAGTTAATTCACACGTATGTAAAAGAAAAGCATCAAACTGAAATTACTTTTGGAGAAAAGTCAAGATATGGAAGAGGGGGTATGACTGCCAAAGTTAACGCGGCTGTTTGTGCTGCTTTTGCGGGCACACCTGTGATTATTACTAGGTACCTTCCATTTTACAGATATATGAAAATGTTGACTGTATATGAAAATATTGGCGCAAAAACTAATTACTCTTCAGTTCTCTATAGATCCAACATTCGCAGAGAGACTTGGTTTAATTAATTTATATTTGTTTTGAGTCTTTCACTGTTGAAGAGAGTTGTAAACTAAATTCCCTGAATCATAAAATTGTGAACAAAGCATCGGGATTAAAATGGAATGAATTTATAATCTTATACAAACTGACTTGTAAAGAATTATTATCCTTTCTTGGTTTTCAAACTGCATTCACCATTTTAAGATTATGGATATTCGTCCAATTTGATTCGACAATACCAGATGTTACACTATTTTCATGTGATCATGTCCATTCTACACTCATTTTCTTTGTTTGATAATTGCAAAAAGTAAAGACAAAACAAACCACAGCATTGTTTCTTTCCAGTACATCTGACTAAAATATAGCATATTTCTGTTGTCGAGCAATTTTCATTCTTCTACCGATATATATATATATATATATATATATATATATATATATATATATATATATATATATATATATATATATGAATATGCATTCATGGATCACCTACGCACAAGCATGCGTGTGGAATTTTGCATTTTTGCTGACCTCAAATTGCATTTCAACCTTTGTTGAAGTGGCTTTGCTACGGATAACATCATAAGAGTTCTTCGCGGAGAAAGAATTGGTACAGTCTTCCACAAAGATGCTCATTTTTGGACCAGTATAAAGGAAGTGAGTGCTCATGAAATGGCAGTTGCAGCACGTGATAGTTCTAGACGACTTCAGGTGAGTAGTTGCACGTATAAAATGTAAAGGGCAGGGTTTACTTTCATTAATTTCTTTAAATGGAAATTTAGCCTATATTAATTTCTTTTTTGTTATTGCCTTGAAAACGAACGTAGTTCGGTAGGCTTGTCTGTACTATATAATTTGTGCTTCCGGTTTCAGGTCCTAAATTCTGAAGACAGGCGCAAAATATTGCTGGCAATAGCAGATGCATTAGAGAAAAATGAGAGTACGATAAGGCTTGAGAATGGAGCTGATGTTGCTGATGCAGAGGAGATCGGATATGAGAAATCACTCATATCACGTTTAACCCTTAGACCTGAGAAGGTAAGAACTTTATACTAAAGTGAAAAATTGAAAGAAAATTTGAACAGCTTTTTCTCAGTGTCAAGTCCAAACAGCACCTACTGCAAACTTTTCAAATCAGATTTTGAGAAGTTTTCCAAGAAATAGAGAGCGATTTTGTTTGACCTTGATTTTTTGTATTTTTCAGATCTGTAGTCTTGTAAAGTCTGTTCGCATGCTGGCTGATATGGAAGAACCCGTTGGTCAGATTTTGAAGAGAACTGAGGTCAATCCCCCGTATAATTAACACATGAAATTGGTTCTGTGATGTTTTAATATTCAACAGTTATTTCTTTGTAGACGTATTTTGTTTCCAACATTTAACTATTGTAATGATTCAATAACAAATTCCAGAAAATGTTGATAGAACATGCATCCTACAGCTTAATATTTATCTTTGCAATTCTGATTGCTGCTCTGTGTCCAGCTAGCAGACAAACTCGTCCTGGAAAAAATATCATGTCCTTTGGGTGTCCTCCTGGTTATATTTGAATCTCGACCAGATGCCCTTGTTCAGGTTAAGAGACTTTATTCCTTCTCAATTCTAATCCATCCTACATCTTCAATAAGAATGCCACAGATATGAGCAAGTAGAGAGATCTAAAATCTAAGTCTCATGATACTGATCTTTCGAAAATTTGTTTCGTGCATTGAATAATGATCTTTTAGATATTGTTGAAATGGATTTATAGATAGCTGCATTGGCCATTCGAAGTGGAAATGGTTTACTGCTTAAAGGAGGAAAAGAAGCCAAACGATCAAATGCAATCTTACACAAGGTTTGTGTAATTTAATATAGATCCTTTTTTTATCTGATTAATCCAAATAATAATTGTCCACATTTTTCTTTAAATTTGAACTTAGAACTTATATTAACTCCACAACATGGTTTTGAAGGTAAGGATTCACCAAATTTCATGAGTTTTATTTCTATCAAATTTATAGTGGATAAGAGACTAAGGTGAACCCAATAATTATCTATAGTATTCTTAGAATTTACACTCAGGCATAGTTTGACTTTAGAAATAACTTAGAAGGTGAGGATTGTCCAAGTTTTCTAAGTTTTATTTGAGTCATATTTTTAAGTCAATGTAAGAGGAACCTAATTAAGACTTGGGAAAATAAGATAAATAAATAATAATATAAAAATCTATAAGTGAGTTGTTGAATAGATTTTTTTTGTCCTTTTACGGTGTCAGCCCTCCTTAAGACTTTCCAACTAAGGCTATCAACTTGAAGTTTTGCAATTTGTAAATGCATATGACAGAAAAATACATCTATTTATTATCTATTTTTTACTCAATCTTTAGAACTATCTTAGAATTTGGTTCGAAGACCTAATTCAGTCTCATTATAAGATTATAATTTCTCAAGATTTTATAGTTCTATTAGCCACATCTTTAGTCGATTTAAGGTTAAAATTAAGTTAAACCGGAGGGGCAACAACAAGCAAGATAGAGGTGAATGCAGTCAAGACGACATTTCAACAAGTATTTTTCCATAATTTTAGTTTATAAATTTTTCATCTTCAATTTCATCATTATTGTAGGTTATTACTTCAGCTATTCCAGATAGAGTTGGTGACACACTCATTGGGCTTGTGACTTCAAGAGAAGATATTCCAGATCTGCTCAAGGCAAGTAAAAGTCCTAAAATTTATTTCGTCTGAAATGACTTTCAACTAATTGTACCTTGCCACAGCTTGATGACGTGATAGATCTAGTGGTCCCTAGAGGCAGTAATAAGCTTGTCTCTCAAATCAAGGATGCGACAAAGATTCCAGTTCTTGGCCATGCTGGTAATATATGTATTTACGTTTTCTATCATGGATTAATGTTACAAAGTACGATTTTATCAAGTTGTTATTTTTGAAATGCAGATGGAATATGTCATGTATACGTAGACAAATCAGCTAATATGGATATGGCAAAGAAGATTATTAGGGATGCGAAAACTGATTACCCTGCGGCTTGCAATGCAATGGTAAATCCAGTTTACATCCCCTAGAATGTCTCCTTTAACGCATGTTCAGCTGCATCCTTTCGTTTGAGTTTTTTCATTTGCCTTTCATTATGTAAATTGATTTATAGAATTTATTACAATATTCTGTGCTGATGTTCTTAGGAAACCCTTCTTGTACACGTAGATCTATCAAGGAATGGTGGGCTTGTTGAACTTGTTGCTGAACTCCGACGCGAAGGTTTGACCTTGGTTGTTGTGAATAAATTTATGATCAACAAAACATGCACAATTAAGTTGGCATTTTGTATTTTCTTTTTTAAAAATACCCCTTGGCTTCTTTTTCAACATCCTTAGCACAATTCGATGAAATTTCAGTTTTGTAAATTTTGGTGATTGATTGTTCTTCTTTAAATGTAGTTGGATTATTCTTTCCTGAAAACTAATGATTATTTTGTGTGCATTGAACATCTCTTTCTAAATTTAGTTTGACTTTTGAAAAACTTATCTATAACCTAAGAAAGAATGCCTTTTATTTTTGTAAGATTAGAGAGAATGCATTTAAAACCGAAAGAGAAAATATGTAATAAACTAAAAAGCAAACTTCAATTAAAAGGTAAACTATTGTCATATATCTCAAAGGCGATCATTTTTTTTTTTTCTAAAAGATTACATGGATATGAATGATGTACACTGTGCTGTTAACTGGAACACATGCACAAAAGGGATAACTTGACTGTGATTTAATCAATTTGCAGGCGTTCAATTATATGGTGGACCAAGAGCCAGTGTCTTGTTAAATATTTCTGAAACACGCTCATTCCATCTGGAGTATAGTTCACTGGCTTGTACAATTGAAATTGTAGATGATGTATTTGCTGCCATTAGCCACATACATCAACATGGAAGGTACACTCGGGCTTCCCTGCAAAATCTAAATTTTAATCTCTATGTCAAACCTTGTTAAAGTATTTTTTCTTTCCTGTCTCTGCAGTTCACATACTGAATGCATTGTTGCAGAAGACCCTGAAGTTGTTAAAGCTTTCTTAACTCAGGTTGACAGGTAAATGTTTTCTTTTTTTCCAGTAACCTCGTTGTTGGTCCTTTGCTGACGGTGCCAAATTCCAAGGGATGCTAATGTGGTACATGTACTGACGTATAATTCTTCATATTTGATGATTTTATTGACTTCCGTATATATTGTTAGGTTTTTTACTCGGCTAACACATTCAAAATGGAATCTTGAACCAAAAACACAAGAGAATATGATTTAACTGAGACATCCAAACACTTGATACCAAATCACTATATTATTCCATCCTAGCATCCTATACTAGTTAGACTTAGGCACTGAATAAAACTACCCATGTCCCTATCAAATAGCTGCTTGAAATTTTTCTGTTTTGCTTCTAACGTGTTTTGAGATCACTTATCATATTTCAATTGGACATAATTCCTTTAACAGTAAATAGAATTCAAGCATCATTGTGTTTCTATGCATAACTATTCAATAATTATGAGTTAGTATAGTTATAGAATTGATATTGCTGACTGAGGAATGTGCATTTTTGCATGGTGCACAAACAGTGCTGCTGTATTCCACAATGCAAGTACAAGGTTTTGTGATGGAGCTCGCTTTGGCCTTGGTGCAGAGGTGGTGTACTTTCCATAAGCATATTGCAATACTAGCAGCATAGGAATTCATATTTTCTCATCTGTTCCTGGTTTTATTGTTGATCAGGTTGGAATAAGCACAAGTCGTATTCATGCCAGAGGTCCTGTCGGAGTTGAAGGGTTGTTAACAAATAGATGGTACGGAATTCTTCAATGCCTCTTGATTTTTGCTTTATTCAAAGGATATACAACATCAACTGAACAAACATTTTCAATTATTCTTGAATTTGCTGGAAGATTTTCTTGAATATTTTTGTATGTGTTACACATTTGTAGAAAATAGTTTTAGAAGATCCTTTCTTCAATAATTTTACTACCAGAGTTAAATTAAGATAGACTAAATCACACTATAATGCAGGATATTGAGAGGGAGCGGGCATGTGGTAAATGGTGATCGAGGGATCACCTATACGCACAAGGATCTACAGATAAAAGCATAAATGTGCAGCTAGAGATCAGTACGGATTATTGCCGTTCACCTCATTAAATCAGCAGCAACTTTTCTGTTCTATTTTTCTCGCACAGAAGTTACTGCTGCGGTTCGTGCAGTGTATATTTTAACTTCCATATACCCCTTGCCAGATTTTTTTCCTCACCTGGAACATGCTCAAGGGAAATAAAATAACTGCATGAATGATTAGGCTATGTACTCGGATTTTTTTTTTTTTATGAAACTACTACTTGAGATTGTGAAACAGCATTGCAGTGACAAATAGAAATATATGTTGTTGACATAGGTCATCTGAAGCGGTGCATATCCTTGAGAATTTGAATGATTATTCATTTATTATTTTTCTAGATAATCTGTCCAACTAATATCATCATCATAAGCATTAACTTGACCCTCAGAGAAAATGGTGTCACTTAAGGGTTCTTCACTACAAAGTTTAGATTGCATTGCGGATGAATTAAAAGAAGCAACTCAACTTAATTATAAATGAAGATGCATCAAGAAAATATTGATCCAGACTAATAAACCTTTAACATAAAGAAGGGTCAGAGAAGCTCAATATGTGTTTATATGATGATTAGAATAGGTCAGAAGCTTGATGTTACTTAAAACGCTTTAATCATAGGTGGTTGCTTTTTAAGTAAAAAAGTTAAGTGTTGAGATGGCGTCGTGTTATAATTGGGCAAAGTCAAGGAAATTAGGCTCCTGATGTCAATTGAAAATACTATGGTGGTGTAGTGATAAGATTTATACATGGATAATTAAGAAAACAGCCAATGTAAAATTTCTCTTTGATTTGAATATTGGAATTTTTTTTTTATTCCTTTTGGTATGTGAATCTATTTTTAGAAGGACAAAAGTGTTGTGTTGTTGTTCAATAAAAATTGATGTTTTTTTTCCTCAATAATTAGTACAATATATTCTAACAATAATTTTGACTATAGAACTGTTGAACAGAATAAAAATACTCTGGGTGTGTTTAATTCCTTTCTCACTTTTTCATTTGATTTTTTTGTTTTTTCTAAGACAATTGTAGACTTCTCAACAATCGAAATCTCATCCTAGATACTAGGATCGGTCTGGTGGAGGCGAGTGTTTGCATATATAATCTCAATGCTTCCATTGTACTCCAAAAATAAATTCTCTCCAAAGTTCATTAAATTTTGCATTGTTTCCAAAATAAGTGTTTTAAAAAACAAAATAGAAACAGTGTTGGGAGATGTTTTCTCATATATGACCGTCTACTCAACAATCAATTTCTCATCCCAAATCTATAACAATTTGAAAAAATTATTTCAAAACAAATGTTTCACAAACAGTTGAGAGATATTTTCTCTTCATCTTATGTTTTCACTCAATTTTCCAATCTCTGCTCTTTGTCTTGCACACTACCATCCACCAGCTATTTAAGGAACCTTCTTCAATTGTAATCTGAAAACTAAATAGTTCTTGAAAACAAAAACCAAACATATCCTTAAAGTAATCTGTCCGAATTTTATCCTTTTTAAAAAATACTATAAATGTGTTTTCATTGGTAAACATTATTCTAAAATCGGTATATTTAGTTGTTGGAAATCCAAATTGTATCTTCTCATCGGTCCATGGAGAAAGTTAAGACCTTTTCTTTCTGGTTATAATTTTATCTCTAGAGTCCGAATAAGTTATTCAACTGAAATTTGTTCTGAAGGATCAAACAGGTTTGGCTCAAACAATTTTTTGTGCTTGCATGAAGGGGTACAGATTGACAAGTGCTTGAAGCAAAATGAAATGCATTAAGCAGAACTCACCACCACACCTATGCGTAAATGTTCTTTTCTGTTATGTAGTTATAAACTACTTTTGTTTGATTGCCCATTTAAGCAAATGTTTTCTATTTGTTTTGATTCCAATAAAACAATAATTCAGGAAAGGGAAAGAGTATCAGGAATGTGATTGAGTGACATTTTACATTAATAAAAATGAAAGATTTGAGTAATTTTTAAATCAGAAAAATTTATAACCTAATATCTTTAAAATTTTGAGTTGATGATAATATTCTTTTATATGATTGATTCAGGTCTATTTTTGTTGAGAATATCTTTATTGTCAGTCCCTTGTAATATTAAACAAAAACTATACGAAAGGTCTGCAACAATTAAAGAATGACTCAAATTTTTTTTGGTTCACATGTGAAGAATCGCATACAACCACAAGAGAAGGGATGATTGTCTTCAGACATTACAAATGTTAAAACATTCCTACAATTTCTATCAGCAAAAAGAATTCACTGTAAGGAATTACATCCTTAGATTCATCAGAAATAATCTGAATTTCATATTTCTCCATCCCATAATTCTTCAAGACTTTTGTAAGGACTACAAGTTTCATGGACTGCAGTATCACCTCGAAGTAACCTTTGCTGCATCGGATAACAAATAAATGAATAAATTGAAAAGAAAATGTTGAATACAAATATGTGCAATGTGCACAAAAATGACAATTTGTATGTTTCAAAGGCATTCCAACCTGGGGAATCTGGGATAATTTTAAGAAGAGCTCATGAGGAATACACCAATCAAACAAACTAAGGTTCTCCTTGATCCTAGATTCACTTGTACTTTTTGGAAGAACACTGTGACCACTTTGGATTCCCCAACGCAATGAAACTTGTGCTGGAGACTTATTAAGCTTTTCAGCAATTTCAATCAACAGTGGTTCCTTCAAGACTTCCCCCTTTATCCATGACCCAGGCGAGCCCAAAGGAGAATATGCCTGAAGGATGAATTTGTTGGTTGTTAATTGTTAACAAATAATATGCAACAGAAGCTCAATTAGAGGATCAGAAAGACATCATTGAGATCAGTCAGAGTAATACTGTGAGATGAACACCAGTGGACATGCAAAGATTGTGAAGAGCATGTTGCTGCCACACTGGGTGACATTCAACTTGGTTAACTGCTGGTGGAATCTTAGCATATCCAAGCAAGTCTTGCAGCTTCTTAGTTGAAAAGTTGCTCACCCCAATTGCACGTGCCTGACCTGAGGCAAACAAACCTTCCATTGCATTCCATGTCTCCGGAAGACACAATGGAGCCATAATCGCAGGGTCCCAACCTCTTGAACCTGGCTTTGTCCGAAAAGGCCAATGCATCTTTGACAAAATAACTTATCATCAAATTTCATACAACCATCTCCAGTTTCAGTATCATTTCATAGACAGCTTTAGAATCAAGAACCATACAAGATATAAATCAATGTAGTCAAGCTGCAGGTGCTCAAGAGTCCTAGCCAGTGCCTTTGAGACATCTTCAGGAGCACAATCACTGGTCCTGTATGATTAAAAAATTCTAAGGCTACCAGTGGAAATTCATTACTCAAAACAGAAATATAAAAGACCAAGTGAAGTTTTAGGTTTATCTTTCTTTCTAGCATTCTAAATTTTTCTTTATAATCAAACAGTAAATGATATACGCAATAACTACTAAGTTCTCTCAAGTAAGTCAAAAGCTGAATTTCATTGGAATTTACTAACAATATAAAGGTATTTTGTAACGTATTCCATTCATGGATTGTCATAAGATTGTTGATTTATTACTCTGAAATTAGAATGTTGTCTAATTGTTTGACAATAAAAAAAATTTTACACAGATAATGCATGAAAATTAAGTTGCCAAAAGCATGATCAGAAAAAAATGAGGTCAATTTATCTGAGGTTAAGGATCGTCCAAAATTTTACCATAGCTTTGATGTGATGAACATCTCTCTACGGTTTACTATCCCAGTAGAAAAGAGTGTTTTCAGAGCCTCCCCAACCTGCATCAAATGCAAACATCCTGGCATCAAGAAAAAAACAGAACAAACAAAACCAATTGTCCTCACCCCCAACCTCCTCAAAAAATATAATATTAACGGACAAAAAATTGATATGGATTCTCAGCCTTTTTGAATTCTGGATTAATAAAGAATTTACCTCTTCTTCATTATCATATACCATAGCACAATCTATATGCCTGTAACCAGCCTGCACACAGCAATTTAGGACAATTTCAAACAAAGCAGAAAAAATTAGCAGATAAAGCTGCTTCGCTTGTTACCAACTCTATCTCCATGAAACCAAGAAATAAGACATACATAGAAGACAAAGAAACCACCTTGACTGCAGCAATAACAGCTTCACCCACAACACCTGGGTCAGCTTTCCATGTTCCTAGACCAACTGAAGGAATCTTTGCTCCAGTGTTCAGATCAAAATATTGAAGCCCATTTGTAGTTTCTTTGGCCATGATCTCCTGCATAAGAATCAAAATGGCTAAGCATTAAACTTTGATATACACTAATGAATAAAGTATCAAACCTAAACAAATTTGAAACCCACAGGCAGCAATCTATACCCTTTAGAGTCAAATCGCTGAAGATTTTTTTTTTTATATTTTTATGTCTCTTTATATACCCTGATTTTCAGGGAAGAGTAATTTTATATTAACGAAGCAAATTTAGGCGTATGGTGTAGGTGTTTGTCGTGAGCCAAAAGTTTAGGCAGAAAAGTTGGACCAGTGGATGATGACTTCTAACAAGAACTCCGGAGCAACCAATGAAATCAATGGAAGAAGGGAATTTGCTCTTATCCAAGTCACTGATTAGCAAAGGAGATTCACGTTGTTATGCGTGATGAAGCAAGATAACTCCAAATTCCAATCCAACAAAAATAACAATATTCTCATGCATTTTATATTACTTTTTAAAGTTAAATTACACTTTTAATCCTTTTTTATTATGATTTATAATGCTAGTCTTTTTTTTTCTCGATTTTATTCCTCACATTTTTGGATTAGTTCTCAATTTTACATATATTTTATTTTGTTTTAATTGAATATTAGATGTAACATATTTATGCAAAATATCACAAAAAATAGTTTTATTAATTAAAATAGAAAATAAAAAATTAGATACTAAGTAAAAGTTTATTTTTGTAATCTAAAACAAAAAATTAAAAAATCAAAAATTTGCAGATAAAAAATTAAAAGGAGGTCAAAATTACAATTTAGCTTATAAGAAAATAGCGAGATGTTCTTTTACAAGGAAAAATAACAATATATAAAAATATGTGAATGGAAATCTTTCCAAAAAGAATTAACTAATACATTAATTTAAAATTTTTATAGAATAAATACTTGTTTTATATAATCAAAATTGATAATAAATATTTTTTAATGTAAAAAAGATTTTAGATTTGCAATAACCAATTTAACTTGTGTGATAGATTTATTTTAATTGTAAACAATTTTTAAGAAATATTAAGTCAATTTGCAAGTAACGGTAAAATATGGTGAATTAGAAAATATATCAAGTAAACGTTTAAGGGAGTGTAAAAATAAATGTTTTGAGGAATTGTATGCTTAATAATGTATGAAATGTGAGAGAATACAGAAAATATATATTTGAAAGAATGGAATAAGAGTGTAATTATGTGTATTCTTATTATTTGTGTATTTCTCTTTGTAGTTAATAATGTTATAAATTTAAAATTTCTTCTTAAAATACTTACCTAAGTTGTTTAATTGGTGATTTATATGTTAAATGAAACTATTTAAGAAAAAATATGTTTATAATTAATACATTAAAATATAATTAAATTTAACTACTTATTTTCTATTTAATTTCATTATTTCAGAAATATTCTTATTTTAAAGCTGAGAATCATCTTCCATTAAAATGATTAAGAATAATTTAGAAAATGTAGTTTACCTGAATTTAAATCTGACAAAAATTGGAAAAACTATTTAAATGTACTTTTTTAATTTATTTTTTTCTAAAATATGATTATCATATAATAAATATTTATATTTAGTACAATTAAAATTTTTATTTAATTTTTATATATTAACAATTACTTTATGTTATATAGATTATTAAATAATATTTATATTTGTAAATTTAAGTATCAAATTTCGTAAATTTAATAACTCTAACCATATATACATCTAAATGATATTTTTAAGAAATTAAAATTTTCTATTCTTAAAACCATACACATTAATATATATCACTTAAATCACATGCCACAAAACTAAATTGATGTGACACAATTATTTTTTTAATCTAACAATTAAAAGTTCAACAAAATAATTAATTTTGTAAAAAATTAGATAGAATATTTTTCCTCAATTGATAAAATCAGATAAAACTTAATTGATGATGTACACGACGAGTCCACTTTTTTTATATTTTTCCTTTACCTTCTCCTTTTACTTAAGCAGTTTCCTTAAACCGTGTGCATAAAAGCATGGGATTAGTGATCTTCAAAATGAAACGTGCAATTTTTGTTTTTGTTCCTGGTTCTGCTTCGAGCATTAGACCCCATCCATTTCAAAATGGTTAAATGTAAATATATAACTTTCTTGTACCCAAAAGAGTAAAATGTAGAGGAATTACGAGCATGAATCACGATGATAAAAGCAGCAATATCCTGATGGAGTGTATATTTTATCTGGCTAATCTATATATTGAACTTGCATCCATCACAACAACGAAAAATGGGAGAATCACCCAGAGTCTACAGATTGATATGGGCATAGTTAAATTGTAAAGGACACCTAAACAATCTTTTCACCATTCAAGTTTTTTAAAATTATTAGTCTACACCAGTAACTCTCATCATGAAACAGGTGAAAAGCCATTCTTTAAAAATAACGGACTCTCTAAGCATTTCACAATCTTTAAGACTAACCATTCTTTCAAAATCATTTCTCGATGAAGTTCTTCAAGTTCTTCAACCACATTAAATATTCTTTCTGGTCTTTAGCAAACATGTATTCCTGCAAGAAGTTGGTGGTGCTGGGTTTGATCCCTCTGATCTCAAGATACTTGTGAAAAGCCTTTTGCAGATTTTCATCTAAATCACTAAAAAGAAGAATGGAACAGAAACGGTCAGACAGTGTATGAGACATTATATGAAAAATTATATACAGTATAAAGGTAATTACTACTGTATGCTTACATGAATTCAGGCCCCTCGTATGACAACTGGTCTTCAGATTCCTCAGACTGCTTTATTGACAAGCTATCAATAGAAATCTCATCGGGAAAAGCAGTCAGCCCAAATTCTAGAGACACTCCATTTCCTTTGAAAACACTAACAACTAAAGGAATGCTCGATTCACTCTCATTCTTCTCGTCATTTTCATCATCCTCATCTTCAGGTGCTACATTAGGGATGTCAACATGAACTTTGATAGTTTCATCACCAAATTGTCGTTTTAGTTGTATGGTTCTCTCTCCAGGTTTGTCCTCAATCTCAAAAGGGAAATCATTTGGGATGTCAACCTGGAAAAGTTATACAAAACAGCAATGAAATCAACACATGACACAATCCAATATGATTATAAATATCAAAGGAAATCCAGTAGGACAAAAGCAATTAATGGCATTCCCGCAACAAACTATCACAACCATAGCTGCTTCGGGTACAGCTGTACAAGGCAAACTTTTTTCCATATTATATTTTATTTGATAAACTACACAGTACGTTTCAGGCAAACTAATCAGTAATGTCTTAGAAATTTCTTGCATGTAGAACACTGAAGATTAGATAGACTTTAAAGCTACCATTGCTGTACATTTTCTTACACCAAATATACTTTTACACTAATAGTATGTTTGCACAAACTTGTGCAACATTTCCAACAAGAAAATAAGTTACAAACTTCATTTCAGTTTCACCAACAGAAGAACTGCCTTCAATATTGAAATATACTTACAACATAACAAATCCTCAAGCATATTTACCAAACTAATATGACAGCTTATCTTGAAACACAACACTGATACCAGACTAGTCATAGCATATATATTACATGCCCTCAGAATCAAATTTACTTATTAAAGTAAACAACATTGGCAGATAAATAATCAAAAGTAGTCTAATATATGAAATAAAAGAGAGAGGAAAAATAGTTAAACGTATAGGTTTAGACATTTTTGCAGTAGGATAATAAATGGCAGAGGCAGAGAAAACGAGATTGTATGAAACTCCATATGAAAACCAACTGATTTTTAATTTAGTTTCCAGATTATGCCTCATAAAAATTTGCACAAACAATATACATCTACTAGATAAAGGTTTCACAATTCAGGCCAGTTACAGAGCAGAATTTGTTAAAACATTGAGACACTTAAAGTCAATACCATGTTTAGTAACACGTAAGTAACTAAAAACAGCAGAATTTCGTTGACTCAAACACATGAATAAAGACCCAGAGACAGGGAATCCCAGTTAAACTACAAAATAAACCTGTAAGAGCTGTAGATATGCAGAAAAATAAGATTAAAATTATAAAACAGGTGACAAAATATAGTAATTTCAAACCATAAGAGTACCAAAAAATGCTTAAAAGCAAACATTAAAAACAGCCGCAGTCATGATGTCCCCCACAATTTTCCTAAATATGATACCCCTCATAATCTGAATGAGAGTTAAGCAAATAAAACCACTCAGATTACTTGGTGCTGATGATCATCTTCGAGGGCGCATTGGATCTCAGATTGAAGCACTTGAACAAGACTATTGTCTGCGCCGGTCTTCGTTGCGAAGGCGTTTGCGAAGCGTAGAGAGGGTACAACAGTAATAGTTGCCTCTCTGTGGAGAACAGAGAGAACATTCTTGAAGGTTCTAGAAGATGACGATGACGTGGCGCGGCGCGCCAGCTGAGGCAACATGGAGGAGGAGGCGCGGCGGAGCATTGCGTACATGGCCATTTCGGTGCGGTGAAAACAGGAGAGAGTCGAGAGGCAAAGGGTTTTAGCGTTAGGGTTTTTGGTATAACAGTCTGAGGTTTGGGTTTACCTTATATACCAGGTGTCGATACTTTAAACAATTAATTACTTTCACTCGATATTTTGTAGGATAAAATAAGTTTTCCCGTAAATATTTTAAATATTAAATATGTTTTTTAAAATAGTATCGATATTTTTAGCAGGACAAAAACATTTTTACATCTTTATATTATTATTTATTTATTTTGTTTCGTTCTTTCTTTATTAATCGATCAGTAAAATAATATTTTAAGATTTTTTTATTAAATGTTTATAAAAATTAATTTTTAAAAAAATTGCCTTTTCAAATAAAATTTTCTTTTCTTTTCTCTTTAATATTAAAATATGAATTTTAGATTTTTTTAAATTTAAAATATTTTTCATATTTTTATCATAAATTGTTTAGATAATGATCTTAAGATAATTTTAATTACACATTTAGTTAAAATCACTTTTAGTTGTAAAATTCATTACGTTAATTTTCTGATTATCCTTATTATTAACAAATAATTAATAAATATTTTAAAGTTTATAAATATAAAATTATTATAAAAAATGTTGGACATATATATTTAAAATTTAGAGAATAGCAAGACCCATTTTATTTTTTATTTTATTTTTTATTTTTAAAATTAAACCTATAATTAAATTGATGAAAATATGACTTCAAAATTTAAAAGTTCAATCACAATTTAATTGAATTTAATAAATTAATAACTTTATAATATAATAAATTTATTAGTAATAATATTTTTTATAAAAAGTAATAGTAATAATTATTATCATAATTATGATAAATTATAATTAAAGTTATAAATATAAAATATATTAAAAATATAAAATAGATAAATATTAAAATAAAATAATAATATAATAAATAATTTTTATTTAAAGGTAACTAATTAATATGAGATAAAAAAATAAAAAAATTTAAAATGTATTATATCTTTTATAAAAATTATATTAAAAAAATGTAATCCTAAATATATTTTTATTATCAAAATTAATTTAACTTAAAAAACTAATCGATTTTACTAGTTTTATCCTAAATTTTTTATTTTATCCCAATTTTTACTAGTTAAATTAAAATTTAATTATTTAAAAACGATTTCTAATTCGAGTCTCTTCTCAGTCGATCGAATTAATCAGTCTTATTTTCAAAATTTAGTAAAAGAAATTAAAAAAAAAATTGAGGAAACAGGAGAGATATATTGAATACAATGAGAGATAAATTATGGAAACATATATTTGAACCTAAATTCAAGTAACGTAAAAATAATAAAATTAATGCAAATATAAATAATGCAAAATAAAGAATAAAAATGAAAAAATATCCAACATGGTAATAATATCATGATTATTAATAATTTGGAATCAAGAGACTATCATATAAAAGTTAATATAAAAATAAATATATTAAATAAAATATGAAAAATTACAAACAATATAAATATATCTAACAAAATATATAGACAATATTTATATGGTTGAATATGTTTTATATTATAAAAATTAATAATTATCATATTTAAATCAAATTTTTTTATAATTGATTTATATGTATTTATCTGGTTGAAATGAATTTTCCTTTTTGAAAATTTTGCATCATGTTCTTTAGTTAATCATATTTCACTAACTAAACTATTTATTTCTGGGCGCATGTCATGTTTGTACGAGGGACACACCATCATAAAACTAGTTTTTTTTATGGTTCTAAGCAATCCTCTGATTATATATATATATATATATATATATATATATATATATATATATATATATATATATATATATATATATATATATATATATATTTCATATCTCATTATTTAAAAAATATTTTAATAAATAAATTTTTAAAAATTTAATTAAATATTTATCTATTTAGAAAATCATTTAAGTAAATTTAAAAACATTGTCTAATGTCATTTTATATTTTATTATTTTAAGACAATTTGGTTATATTAAGAATGAGATAATATTTTGTTTTCAAAATGGAACAAATTATCTTTCTTTCTTTGTTGTAACTTCTTTTTCATATAGTTGAATCTAATTCTTTTCTAATTTCATACCCTATTTTTATTTATATATTTTATAATGATAAGGACTTCAACTTTTTACCTTATATAAACAAGATGTATGAAAAAGGAGTGCAAAAGAAAAATATAAGCAATGTGTATGGAGAAAATAAATGAACCAATGTGTATTCATTTATTCCATTTGTTACATGTTAGTGCAAAGAAATTTATCATGTAACACATGATATATAATCAACAACACAATCACCATGTATTTTCATTATAAGAATTGTATGAATCTACTCATGAGTTACCATTTATGAATATCATCATTAATCCAAGTGCAAATCATATTTTCTTAGAAAAAAACAATGCTAAGAGGTAACATAAGGAGATATTCTCCCTACATAAAAGTTGTAACATATGTATTTATGGTTTTATCTCAAGTAAACTTAATAATTATTAAATATATTTTCTTGTATATTTATATTTTTAACTTCTCACATTTTCATTTTATTTTAATCTCTAATCCTAAATATATAAGGCTATTACAACTACTGTTTTCTTCAATGAAGAGTTACAAGTCAAAAGGAAGAACATTCTAGGTAGTATTGCAAAACAACTCCTCTATTTATAAGTTCACATAGACTTAGTATAGGATCTCACTCAATATGCGAGTTATGCAATAACGTGTGTACGAAGAGATTATATAATACATATTATGCATGGAAGTGACAGAGAAAAGAACACAAAAGAACAAGAATGAATTTTTAATTTATCTATGTACGCATATAGGACATTATTTATACAAGAAAAAGGATCAAAGGATCTATAGAACGCGTTAACAAACTCTAACTGAAATAACAAGTTGTAACAGTATAATACTCCCCCTCAAGATGGAGTGAATATGTTAAGAACACCCATCTTGTCAATTAGAGAATGAAATTGGTGCTAAGGAAGAGGCTTGGTGAAAACATCAGCCAATTGGTGTTTTGAAGGAACATGAACGAGTTTCAATACACCGGAATTGACTTTCTCTTTAACAAAATGACAATCTATTTCTATATGCTTTGTGCGCTCATGGAATGTGGGATTGGTAGCAATGTGAATCGCAACTTGATTGTCACAAAACACTAAAGATGGCTTAGGAGTAATGTCAAAATCCATTAATAAATTTTATAGCCAGGTTAATGCACTTGCCAAAGCAGCCAAGGATCGGTACTCAGCTTCTACAGAGGATCTACTAACAGTTGTTTGCTTCTTGGACTTCCAAGAGATGAGGGAATCACCAAGAAAAACACAGAAATCAAAAATAGATTTTCTAGTATCAATGCAGGTAGCCCAATCAGCATTTGCATAGGCTTGTAAGTTTAACCTTGAATTGGCAGAAAAAATCAAACCTTGTCCAGGAGTGTCTTTTAGATAGCAAAGTAAGTAATGAGCAGCATGGAGGTGAGACTCTCTTGACTGAGATAGAAATTGACTTAGTTTGTGGACAGCATAGCTTATGTCAGGCCTGGAAATTATCAAATAAAGTAATCTGCCAATTAACCTTCTGAAAACACTACTGTTAGGTAAAAGAGAACCATTAGTCTGATTAAGTTTGAGGTTAGCTTCCATGGGAACAGGAGCAAGTTTGCAATCAAGGAAACCAATATCTTCTAACAGAGATAGGGTGTATTTCCTTTGGCATAGAAAAATTCCTTGCTTGGATCTAGGAATTTCCAGACCTAAGAAATAATTGAGGCTACCAAGATCTTTGAGTTTAAACCTCTTTCAATTGAGTTTTAGTCTGCTCAATCAAAGTTGAAGAGGGTCCAACTATCATAATGTCATCAACATACACCAATAAAGCCACAAATGTAGACTGAGATCCTTTAGTGAACAAGGAGTAATCATTTTTGGACTGATTGAAACCAAGTTGTAGTAAAAGGGAAGCAATTTTATTGAACCACTATCTAGAGGTTTGTCTAAGACCATAAATTGATTTATGCAACTTGCATACCATTTTCTCCCCCTGACCAGAAGAATTATACTAAACTAGATACCCTTGAGAAAGAACCATGCAAATTTCTTCAAAAAGGTCACCATTTGAAAATATATTATTTATGTCCAATTGAGCCAATGACCAACCATGTATAGCTGCCAAAGACAAGAGCAGTCTTATGGAGGTGAGTTTGACAACAGGTGAATAAGTTTCATTGAAGTCCAGACCAGCTTGTTGAGTGAAATCCTTTACCACAAGCCTAGCCTTATATTTATCTACACTGCCATCAGTCTTGTATTTGACTTTGTATACCCACTTGCAACCAACACTATGTTTTCCAACAAACAAAGGAACCAAACTCCAAGTGTTATTTGATTCCATGGCTTGTAATTCTTCTAGCATTGTTGTCTTCCAATGAGAGAATTTGGAAGTTTGAGGATAAAATTGAGGTTCATACTCAGTAGATATATTGCAAATTAAGGATTGATAATGAGATTTCAATCTGTGATATGAAATGAAATTGGTAATATGATGAGGGGAAGAGGAGTTAACATTGTATCAATGATATTCTTGTAGGTGTGAGGGAGGTCTATGGATTCTGGTAGACTTTCTAACAAGTTGGGATGAGGGAGCAGGTAAGTTAGAATTTTTGTTCTGGTCATTGTTGGAAATATTAGTAGGCTGGAAGGTAATATGTGGATCCTCAAAAAAGGTGGGAATGACAGCCTCATTGTATGGTGGGAACTCTTGTGATCGCCATTGGGTTTGGTGAAAAGGAAAATTTGCCTCATGAAAAACAATATCTCTTGATATGAATAATTTATTAGTGACTAAATTATATAGTCTGTATCCTTTGTAACCTTGAGGATATCTAACAAAAACTGAAGGATTGACTTTTGGAGTGAATTTATCCCTTTGAGAGGAAATAGTTGATGCATAGC